GGCTGGTGATGGTAGGCGTTTTCGGCACTGGGATGATGGTTGCAGATTTTAAGCAGGGAGGGATGACAGCCTGGGCCAGGGAGAGATTGAAAAATCTGGTGAAGGTGGGGGTGAGCTGGAGGGCACATGCTTTGAGCACCCTGCCAGGTACTCCATCTGGGCCAGTAGCTTTCCTGGGGTTCACTGATTGGAGGGAACGTCTAACATCATGCTCCCGTACAGTGAGTGGAGTGGTGCAGTAACCGGGTGGGTGTGGGAGCAGGGCAGGATCAGATGGGTGCTGCTGTTGTTAGGATTTGTGGTCGGAGCGAACCCAGAGTGCAGAACAGGGACTCAACTCGGCAGATATACAAAAATAGGTCTTTAATGATAAATAAAAGTACAAAATAAATATGCTGACGGGGCAGCAAAACTTACATAAACAAGGAGGGAGGCACGGGGAACTCAGGAGACACGAGGAACTCGAGGAACCAGGAAGAAAAGGAGAGACTCAGGAGACTCAAGGAAGCACACCCAACGAAGACGACCCGACAAAGGACAAGACAGAATAGGGTGACTTAAATACAAGGAGAAGACGAGACATGATGACAAACAGCTGGGACGAGACACAGGTGGCAACAATGGAAACTAACGAGGAGCACGAGGGAAACAGACACACCGGGCCACAGAAAACTAACATCCTTACAGCTGTGGTGCATCAAAGCGTGCAAAGAAGCAGTTTAGCTCCTCTGCTAGTGATGCACTCAGGTCTCCTGTTGTCACCTCACAGCCTCTATAGTTAGTGATGTTTTTTATGCCCTTCCACACCTCCCGTGAGTTGTTACTGGACAGATGGGACTCTATATTCCTTTTATGGTCAGCCTTTGCTGTTTTTATTCCCTTATTCAGGTTGGCTCGAGCAGCTCGGTACAGAGCTCTGTCACCTGACCTGAAGGCAGCGTCGCGGGCTCTGAGGAGTGTGCGAACCTGGCTGGTCATCCATGGTTTCTGGTTGGGGTAAACACGAATGTTTTTGACCATAGTCACATTTCCGATGCAGAAGTTGATGTAGTCCAGTACTGTTCCTGTGTACGTTTCCATTTCCTGATGTTGAAATAAGTCCCAGTTAGTTTGTTCAAAGCAGTCCTGTAGGTCATCGAGTGCATTACCAGGCCAGATTGTAACAGTTTTTGTTGTGGGCCTTGCTCTGCGTCTGAGGGGGGTGTAAGCTGGGGGGAGCAGGAGGGAAAGATGGTCTGACTGCCCGAGGTGGGGGAGGGGTATGGCTCTGTATGCATGTTTAATGTTCGAGTAAACATGGTCCAGAGTATTCTCCCCCCTAGCAGAACACTTAACATGCTGGTAGAATTTTGGGAGTACAGTCTTCAGATTAGCCCTATTGAAATCTCCTGCAATTATATGAACACCGTCGGGGTGAGCCTGCTGCTGTTCATTGATGGTGTTCAGCAGGAGAGAGAGCGCCGTATTTACATTAGCATCGGGTGGTATATACACAGCAGTAATTATCACAACCGTTAGCTCTCTCGGTAGAAAAAAAGGTCGGCATCTCACGGACATGTACTCAAGGTCTGGGGAACAGTGATTGTCTATAATTGTCCCGTTATTACACCAGTCCTCATGCACATAAATACAGAGCCCCCCACCTCTGCTCTTACCGGAGTCCGCAGTCCTGTCCCAGTGTAGCAGAGAGCGGCCTGCTAGCTGTATGCTAGCATCGGGTATCCCGGGGTGAAGCCAGGTTTCGGTGATAATCAGAACACAGCAGTCACGAACATAGCGATTTCCAGCGAGTTGTAATTCCAAATAATCCGTTTTATGCACCAGGGATCTGGCATTAGAGAGATAAAGGCTCGGTAGAGGTGGCTTGTGATCTTAGCCTTAGCGTAACGCCAGACCTGCAGCCTCGCTTCTGCTTCCTCTCCCTTCTCCGTCTGCGCCGCCTCCCAGGCCCGACAACAATCCACGGAGAGACCGGTGATCTCGCTATTTCGTCTGGTGAGATGAAACCAAGCGTTCAAAGGTTTTCATGACTACAGACGTGAGAGCTACAGGTCTGTAGTCATTTGGTCCTGTGACACGTGGCTTCTTGGGGACAGGGACGATGATGGAGGACTTGAAACAGGCTGGGACGTGGCATGACTCCAGAGAAGAGTTGAAGATCCCTGTGAAGACCAAAGCCAACTCTCCAGCACAATGTCTCAGCGTGGAGGGTGACACAAGATCTGGGCCTGCAGCCTTATGTGTATTCAGCCTTTTAAAAAGCCTCCTTACTTCATCCTCTTGTACAGAGATAGCAGGGGGTTGTCGAGGGCAGTCCAAAGTCGTTAAACCAGTTGGGCTGGGGTTGGTGTGGAGGATGGAGGAATGTGAGTCTATGACTTCAAAGCGTGAATAGAAGTCGTTCAGATCATTTGCCAGTTTGAGATGGTCTGTAGAATGAGGTGCTCTGGGCTTGTAGTTAGTTATCTCTTTCAGCCCCCTCCAGACAGAGGCAGAATTGTTTGCAGAGAACTGTTGTTGCAGCCGTGCATTGTACCTGGATTTAGCCTTCGACACCTCCCTGCTAAATTCATACTTCGCATGTCTGTAGTTGTCTCTGTCCCCCTCGCTGAAAGCAGCCTCCTTCTGCTGACAAAGCTGTCTTAGTTTGGATGTGAACCAGGGTTTATCATTATTGAAAATGACTCTGGAGCATGATGGGATGATGCTGTCCTCACAGAAATGTATATATGACATCACAGTGTTTGTGTATTCATCTAGACTGTCTGTAGAAGCCCTGAACAGGTCCCAGTCTGTGGTGTCCAAACAAGTGTATAGCTCCTCCACAGCTTCACTGGTCCACTTTTTGGATGTCCTCACCACAGGTTTTGAGAGCTTCAGTCTCTGTCTGTATGCAGGTATGAGGTGAATCATCTCATGATCTGAGAGACCCAGGGCAGCACGAGGCACAGCACGATAAGCACCGCTCACTGTGGTGTAACAGTGATCCAGCGTGTTTCCTTCTCTGGTCGGGCATTTAATAAACTGTTTATATTTAGGTAGTTCATGCCTGAGGTTTGCTTTGTTAAAATCTCCAAGGATTATAACAAGGGAGTCCGGAAAAGGCCACTCTACACTCGTGATCTGGTCCGCGAGCGCGCGCTCAGCCTCGTGCACGTCCGCGCACGGTGGGATGTAAACAGCGGCCAGAGTGAATGAAGTGAACTCACATGGAGAGTAAAACGGTTTGCAGTTTATGAAGAGATATTCCAGAGAAGGAGAGCAGTGCTGGGAGATCACTGTCACGTCGGAGCACCAGGCGTTGTTGATATAAGTTGATATAAAATATGAAGCATCTGAAGCGAAACCTGCTCCATTTGTCAAAAAGTCTTGTCTCAATTAAAGATCATGAGTCCTGTAATGAGATAATGGCCCAAAACAAATGCTAAAAACCAAATGTTCTCTTTAAAAGTTCTTCTATGAGATGTGATCTATGAAAGGAGCTGAAACATGGAGAAGGACTGACCCTTAAAATGTGAGACAGCTGAGGAAGTTAACCAGTAAACAGAATACCTGCTCCAGTTGCAAAAATCTGACAGAAACTGACCATCACTCATCTGCAGTGACTGATTTAAAAGTTGAACAAGAAAATGTGAAGTTAAAGGAAACATCCTTTGTCACAAAGACTGTTTAAGTATATCCTGATGCATGCTCAATAATCCAGGTAGAAAAATCTAAAAAAGTTCAATCTGGTCCTCTGGACATTCAAAAAAAACGAACAACAACAACAAAACAAAGCAAAACAACAAAAAAATGTAGAAACGTTTCGTCTCTCTCATCCGAGAGACTTTTTTTGTTGTTTTGCTTTGTTTTTGTTTTTTTTAATGTCCAGAGGACCAGATTAACTTTTTTAGACAGTTTAAGTATCATTATTATTTTGGTTACTTTATTATTTTTATTTTTTTTATTTTATGAATTGATTGTAACTCATTATTCAACAACCAAAACAGATTTTTTTAATATAATGGCTAGGTATTAAAAAACAAACATTTAGCCCTCCCCACTACCCAGTTATGTTGCTTTTATTTTGAAATGTAATTGGAAGTTCTGAGTTAAGAGAGGTAGAAAGAGAAGTTATGGAGACGCCGCTAATGTTGAACCGGTTAACACCATAGACATAATATGTCTGTGGTTAACACAAACGCCTTGTTTTTTATCAATCAATCAGATGAGGCCCTCCAGATACGCCTTCCGTTTTTGTCTGCAGAAATACATACTTGGATTTTTCAGTGTTGGCACACTGTGCGCGGGGTGAGACCCACAAGGGCGGCTTAAAGGGCAAGCCCATATGAAATTGAACTAATACTTTTCTAGAGGTGGTCCCACTGATGTTAAGATATTTTTAATCTAGACTGGTCCTATGGTTTTGATCTGCTCAGAGACGGGATTATAATGAAATTATGACCCAGTTCTGACTGGGTTAAACTGGGCCAGCGACTCTAAACAGAGTCTCCCTGGGATTCAATATCTGTCACGGAATAGTTTGATCTGCCACATCACGTAGAAAGACTTTTTGAAGCACTGTCTCATAACACGTCAGTCCACATAAGATCCACTGAGATCACACTTAGCCACGCCCCCTCATACACTGATAGGTTGAGCTCCCCTTCTGTGAAGGCGGAGTCTTAGGGCCCTATAAATGAGTAATGACACGAGACATCGAGGCTCTTCTTCCGGGTCTGTGAACGCGTCACATACTGGAGAGTCCAGCGCTGTAAATTGTAATATTTCCTGCCTTTTCTAATATAATTGATAAAACTTAATCAACGTTTCCTTGATTTATTGATTAGTATAGTTGCCACTTCTGAGGGAG